CATAGTACACGCATGCTTATATATTCAGATTATTTGGGTTCGTCATAAAAAGCATATTTGTGTTACTACAAAGCACTCTAAATTAACTTCACTCATTTTCAGGAGGAAGGAGCTCTTTTTGGATAAAAGGCAAAAAAAAGTTCCATGAGAAATTGTTGATATGGTGGATTACGTGGTCTGGGAACCCTCATCAAAGACAGTTCCTCATGTCCTGAGGTCAGAGCACAGGAGACATTACTTCAGCAGTGAGTTGTGTGCGATCGCTTTATTAGACGGTAGCGCATGTCAAGACTCTTTGATCATTTAGTTAACAAACAAAGTGGAGCCCATGTGGCCTGCAGACAATGAGCGCCACTCAATCAAAGTCTCGCATAAAGAGGTGTGCTGGATTTGTTTGTGCACACATACACACACACATACACACACACTGACCCGCAAATAGTAAGCCAACAGGAGTCAGCACATGCTAGAACAAGCCAAGGAATGTTTTAGCACTTCAGAAAGAAAGGAAAAAAAAAACAAAAAATCAACACAATGGCTCTGGAGAAGATGTCCCATGTCCCATTTGACTCATGGACACACACACAAACACATGGACGTGCAGCGAGTCGGGTAAGCGGTAGCGGACAGCATCTCTCGGTGGCGTAATTAGAGAGCGCCACTGTCAGAGAGAACCCTGCTCCAGATTGACTACAAAACCACTGCGTGCCCTTGAAGAAACATCTGCGCTCGAGAAAAACAAGGCAATTATGTGGAGGGGGTGGGAGGGGGGAGCAGAGAAAGAGAGAGACAGAGAGAGAAGCGGGGGTGGATCTGCCCTTCAAAGAGCGCCAGAGAGGCTGGATCGAGAGCCACGGAGAGGCGGTGGGACGACGGCAGGGCGACACCGAGGCCTCCGTCAGTCACCGTCCTCCTCCTCCTACTGCTGCTAACCTCCTAACACTCTGGCCTCTTCCTATCTCAAGTTCACTGTGCTTGCTCCCATTAGCCCTTATCTTCAGCTTTGAAACCCTCAAGGTTCTCTTTTCATGTGCTTGTTTGAGTTCACCTCAACTTCGCTTTGGTCTAGTAACGGGTAAACATGTCTGGGAAGGGCGAGACTGGCCACCGTCCCCTACTTTCTTGATCTCTGTTTTTCTCCCTTCTCTAAGTTTTCTGCTTTTCACAGAAATGCAACAATTAGCTGATAAAGTCAACAGCATTGATTATGGAAAAAATCAGCAACGCTGTTTTTGAAATTGATTGTTTAAGTAACAAAAGTAGGGCTTTTATGCTACTGAGCACTGAAAAATTCCATGTCATTCAACACCTAATTAGTGAATCTCATCAGTGTCTGTAAGCCAATAAGCTTTCTTGTCCCTAGACTGCTGATTGGCTGCCCAAAAAACATTCTGCATGCATGCACCCATGTCTAGTTTAGGCCTCACCCACTTTTAGTCTGTAATTTAAAGGAAGGTACTGAATAAAACATCGTTCAAAAATCAGTATCAAAATCAAGGTTTCAGTATTAGTATTAAAAACGTAATACCTGGCCCTAAACAAAGCACCCTGTAACGCTCTATAATGCCCTTGTGGTACACATGGTTACTCCAAGAGATTGCAATACTCTACTAGATGCATACAGGGCAATATGGCTTCCACTGTTACAACATAAAAGATCTTTCTAGAACTCTGAATGATGGTGGAAGCAACAGGAAAGGGGCCAAAGAAGGCAAACAATGAGATTAGTCAAATAACTGAATAACGCTGGATAAGGTAACCAATTATAAAATTCATCTATAGTTGCAGCCCTAGTTTTTGCAGCAACAGTCAATCTTTGTGAGTGCATGGAGATGCCAACAGAGCATAAAGCCTAGGAAAAACAGCTGTGGTGCCTTTTCCCAAAACACATTTTGCATCCCTTTTGTTGCTTTGTGGGGAAGCAGAGGCAGAAAAACACCCCTGGACAGGTGGTGGCTGGCTGCGAGTTCCAGTAAGTCCTTTGGAAAACACCAGCGAATTAGTAGGACCTTCAGCAAGTCCTTTTCTGCTGTGACTACCAGCCTTTCCCTTTGTTTTTCTGTTGTGCTGAGCGAGCCTTGGATATAGATGACTCACTCAGCCCCCAAAGACACACCATTCAGACACAACATTACCATACTGAACAGGTGTGCAGGGGAGCAGGTGCCGACATGTCCTAGGAGGGGCAGCCGGGAACAGCCGGCATCAGCACACAGGAGGGTCACTGGAAAGAAAAGGCTACATTCAGCCCACTGTTTCTCCCTCTCAAGGGTCATTGAGAGCCCTAATAGCCAGTTCCTCCATACAGCGGACAAAGGTTGTCAGAATCAGCTCCATACAACAATAAACTGGCCTCTGCTTCCGGTTGAAAACACAACACGTATCTGTGGAAGGCTCCATTTCCTCTGTTTGTTTTCCTGCTGTAGGGAAAAGTGGGGAGGAGGGGCACAGCCCAGATCGTCCGTCCCCAGAATGAACCTGAACGCGGCACGGGCCTCCTGAAGGCCATGGCTGGGAAAGAGCCCTTTCTTGTCCACTGTACTTTTCCCACCATTCTTGTGTGGTTGAGAGAGGAAGAGGGAACAGACAATGCAAAAGCAGGAGTCTGCTGTTTCCCAAGCATTCTGAGGCAACCCCCAGCCAGATGTGAACAACATGTTGGCATCCATTTTCATGAACCAACCATCTCTTAGATAAAGGCAAATAGATCAAGACGTGTTGGTAGTCAGTGGAAAAACACAGCGTGCAGCATTTAAGTGCTTGTGGATCTCCTTGTAGACATTCAGCCTTGTAATGGATCCCCGTACTCAAATATGGCTTTATTTTGTACAAATTCTGAAGTGTTTTCTGAAGTTTGCTGCAAAGACAGGCTTAAGCAGTGAAATCCATGGTGGTATATATCTTAGCCTACCGTCAGAGAGCAAACTGCCTGTTCACAAAGAACAGCCCACAGGACAGCGTCCAATTCAGGAAAGTCATTGTTTTCCACTTGTTGCTTTCTGCAAACAGTTTCTAACAGAGTGCCATCATGGGTCTCTGTTTTCTTTTCATGGACAGGAAACAAGCTGAAGCATCCACCATCCTCCGCTGTTGTCATAGCTTTTAATTAATGGCAAGAGAGTTCCAGTCATAAGTCTCTCAACACAACATAGATAAGACTAGGCAAATATTTACCTGACAAGACTTGCCACAGAAGCAGACCTCCAGCTCCGTAGCAGTTACTACAGTATCAGTAGGGGTGGGAATCTCTAAGCAGCCCACAGTTCAATTCGATTTTGATTTAGGGTGGCAAGATGCGACTATAAAATGAATATTAATGCATCTTGATGCATCCCAATTTTTGATTTTAGTAGCAGACGCTATGACTGTTTTACCTACACCTGTCACTGACAAGTAGTCCTTTCATAGGGCTGTAACATTACATAGGATGTAACGTATCATATTGTATTGATCATATGTTTCGCAACGTATCATATGGTATTGTTTTGTATTGTATCAATGTATTGTGACTAGTATGTTAACTTTGGACTAACATATTAGCTTGTGGCAGGAACATTAGATCGGGACACTATAAAACACATGTTTCAGATATATATTGTACTTTTTATTTATATCGCTGTTGTCGGAAGAAAACCAAAATGCTAACTTTACAGGAAAAGGTAATAACCTACTTTGCCTTTAATGTACGTCAATGGAACCAGATTTTTTTCCAAGTCATTTTGGGCCATTTCGTTTGGTCCATTCATCATGAAATTTACACACAGTGTAAAGAGCAACAGGCATTTTCAGTGTAAAAAACTGAAAAACGACACAAATGGAGAGGTTTTCTTCCAACAGCAGCAAAATGTATTGTACTTTTATACCACCACAACACAGTGGTTGTCAAACCAGTCCTCAGGGACCCCAGACAGTCCACATTTTAGCTCTATCCCTACTTGTTGGGAGTTAAAATATGGGCCATCAGGGGGTCCCTGAGGACCAGTTTGTGAATTATTGATATTCTAAACTACAAATAGAAACTATCAAATCAAATTATAAATTTTGTGAATCATTACACCCTGCTTGGCTGAACTACGTCTAAAAAAATGTGCACATTCGTTTTTCATGTCACATATTGCAAATAATAAGTAAATCATGGGATATTCCAGTCATTTCATAAGCTTTTACTTTTTTGTAATGTAATATAAATACAAGCATGTATAGCAGTACTTATTGTAGAAACCTCTCTGCATTCTTACATGGGGTCATGTTTCCTATGGTTTATTTTTTACAAAAATTACCCAAAAGTGTGAACAGTTTGTGACTGCAAATATGTATGCATTAGTGAGATCCTGCATTTTCTTTCCTCCTCCAAGCCATAAAGTATTCTACTTGATCATATTTCCCGGTGAATGTGAGTTTATTTACAGTAGGGGAAATGCAGAGCCTTTATAAAATCCAATTTTATAAATGCAATTATAACATTTTGTGAGTTGATTCTGAATATTTCCAGACAGAATCATGATACAGCTAAGAATCGATTATTTTTCCCACCTTTAAGCATTAGTCCAGCCATTCATACGGCTGTTGTTGGAAAAAAAAGAAACAAGACTGTGACAGAGACAGACTACACAGTGCGGGGGAAAATGTAACAGTAACTATCATATGAAGATCAGGAAGTAGTAAAGTTTATAACCCATTTGGATAACATCAATGAGACTGTGCTAACACTGGTAAATGGTCCATGAAAATGACAACATAGTTGTCAATTATGCTTCATGTGATAGAGAGGCTATGTCTTCTACACTTGTAGGGGTAGATTAGCACTGACACACCTCATAACCTACATACAAGAAGTGAAGTTCACTGACTCAAAGAAACCGGAGGAAGACGTTTTTCCAGGAAGGCTAAACGGTCCTGACCATATTCAACAACAACAAAACTGCACACAATCATAAAGCAATGTCCTCCATCTTCAGGGAGAAGAACTCTGCAACTGAAATAAATTCCTTCATCCTTACCTTTCTGGCAGTGGTTGGAGGTCCAGCAGCGGTAGCTATAGTTGTCGTTAAAGCTGGTCCTGGGGCACTCTGGGTTCTCCTCTATGATGCCAGGGCACACATCTCCACACTCTTTGGACGGCTTGTTCCCAGCGACGTAGTTGTTAAACTCTGCATCCATAATGAGTGACCAGTCCACCGAGTCGACATAGCACAGCTCTGGGTTCTTCTCAATCCTGATGGCCCCTCGCGTGATGTTCTTCAAACTGTACAGGCCAATGTCCTTCAAGCTGGTCATCTCGAAGATCACAAGGGCGTAGTTGTAGAAGAGGTTGCGTCCTCGGATGACTGTGAGGTTGGGGAAGAGCATGCTGAGACTGTCCAGGCCCGCCACTCGGAACAGCAGCAAGTAGTCGGTCACCATCCTGAGCTTGGGGAAGCTGAGGGAGCGGAACTCCTGGTATGGGTTGTGGTTCTTGTCTCCTATCAGGAGAATCTGCAGGTAGCCCTCCACCACCGTGCAGTTCTCCAGCTTCTTGAACTCGCTGATGTCATTCCGGATATCGATGTGAGGACCACAGACTGGGGAAAAAAAAGAGAGAAAGAGAAAGAACGCAATGAGAAATCAGACCTTGAATGCAAATCAGACATAAAGCATTGCAAACATACAAACAACCTGTAAACGACCTGCACAGATATAAATGCTACATACCAGCATATACGCATTATCCTCTATTATAATTTGAAAGCTGTTTAAGGGTAAGTTTAGACACTTAGGGACTATATTCTCAATTTTTTTCATTCTCATAGCTACACAACTTAAATATTTAAGTTTGACAGGGGTTACTGAATAATAAATCTTAAAACAGAATTCAACCAGTGTTTTTAAGATTTCTCCATAATTCAGTCATTAAAAAAAGGAATTCAGAGGTTTGACGTGAAATGCGGCTTTCTAGCAGCGTCAGAATTGTTCACAGTGGTGGTGATAGGATCCAAACATCTGAATCATCTAAGGCCTCTCAAAGATACCACACAAAAAAGTTAATATACAAAACAGTTACAAATAAGTTGAGTGATAACATTGTTTTATGGTAGGTCTGAAATAAGGTTTTAGCTTAAATTAGACTTTTTTAATTGCATGCACGCCAGCGAGGTACATACAGGGAGTTGTATGGCAAAATAACACCCAAATATATCTTATTAATTTGGATTTAGCATTTATTTACAACCATTAACATTACATATAAAAACTCAGAATACATATGTAGGCTTACTTTGGATAGTAAATAAAACAGCAACATTTATGTTGTAGACATCACAACCTCTGGTTCCCATCACCACCACTGAGAAGAAATCCATACTAGTACGTTTCTCTACTGTGAAACCTTTCACACCACTCTAAACGACTTTGTTTAGAGTCATATGCAAAAGTTTAAACAACTTCAAAACTTATACATTTTGTTGATTTTCTAAGTGACAGTAAATTGAACACATCGTCTACAGGGAACAAACTTAAATATGGAATTTTTCTGCAAATTTCAGAGCACAATTTTAATTTTTTGGCTAAATTTAACATATTGAAAAAAAAAAAAGATAATACGTGCTATAATTTTTTTTATGTATCATTTTATGTTGGGTTCTTCCCTAATATGTTAAATTCAGCAAATAAATGGTAATTTTGCCCTAAACTGTGCATCCCGTAAAAAAAAAATCAACAAAACATGTCATTTATCCAGGGACAGCCAGGGACGACCGAACATCTTATGCAGATATATTATGTAGAATTTTTGAAAAAATGTGCAATTCCTATTTAAGATTGCTAACTCGATAATAAGCTGAAGATTCAATGGGTTAAATGAAAAATATTTCAAAAGAAATTCTGCATAAATCTCATAACAACCAGAGCAAAGCAAAGCACTAGTGGTCAAAAGAGCAGAAGGATTATTCAAATTCAGCCAAATGAGTCCTTTGCGTGCATCACAGTGGTGTCCGATAAACAGTGCTGTTGTGTTATCCTGTACATTTATTTCCACACACAGATTTATGCCATGCTTTGTTCCTACTTTACACAAAGGGACATGGGCTGAGGCTTCACATTCTCTGTATAGTTTAGTGGGATAAGTGATCCAAAAAGCTTCTGAAAAATGTCACCCCACATGACCCATGTTTAAAAAGGCCATCCGTGTCTACAGTCCACACAGAAAACAACCCATATGCAAAACCACAGAGTTCAGAAGGAGAGTGTCCTCCCCAGCCTCTCTCTCTCTCTCGCACACACACATGCAAAAGAAACAGTCATGTTTTATTTAGGAGAATTATCTTTCCTTTTAATTGTGGCTGTCAGTGGGAATAGCTCCCCGGCAGCTAATTTATTTCATCCTTTGAGTAGGAGCGATGGCTAACAGATCTAGCAGTTCTGGTGGACAGTGAAGCCAATGTGTGACCAGCAAGCTCTCATAGCTTACATTAGACACAGAGATCAAAGAGGCCATAATACTGTGCATCATAAACACCTGCTTGAATTGTTCTAAAAGCATGGGTGGAGTAGTTTAGGCATTACTTTAACAAATGGGGACTGTAACAGATTGCAATATAAAACCAATACACCAGGCCAACATGCTTTAAAGGCCCCATACCCTACATTTTTGTCCACGTATAGGACAACATTTGCATGATTGTATGCAGGGCTAGGTATCAAAATTCAGTATTTTTATGGTAATGAATTACTTGAGTACTACCAAAAACTTGCATGGCATTCAATACTGAATTTCACTACCTAAGAAGCCGAACTTATCAGCATCCATGCTTGTTCAAAATCTAAACAGCTGACTGACTGTCACTATTAAATAACATATGCATGATATTAACATCACTGCTTCTTGATTAGTCTACAATCAGTTGCGGTCAGCAAATGTACCCATTTTTTTATATGCACCAAAAACAGCCATAATTGTTTTTACTTTACCATTTTCCAACATCTCTTCATCTCTTAGAAATAAACAGGCTGTAATTGTTACTGTGCCTTTAAGACTGACATGTAAATCACCCCTATTCTTAGTGGCTGCTCTGAGTTGCGCCGCATTCGAAAAGCAGGACAGGCTGAAACACTCCTTCTCCCTTCAGCATTGAATGGGCAGGGTTAAACTGTTGTCGGCTGAATAGGTGGATATATGCAAACGCATTGATTTTCATGACATCACAAAAGCAGTCAATTTAAAAAAAAAGCTATGGGCTCTTTAAATAACCTGTTATGGCCTACCTAAAACAAGAAGAATCTGCATTGAACAAAAACAACTTTATAACGTTTCAAGGAGTAAATCTGCTCCCTAGAAGGAGGTGGCGATCTGTAGAAATGTCTTGACATATGAGCTCCTTGGGCTAAACCTTTTATGTTCTTAAAGAGGCTTAGGGCACCATCTCTCCGAGAGCCAGCACTGTAGAGCCTCAGCCATGAGATACATGGAAGTGTTTTCAGCTGCCATCTCCTGGCCATGTCAAAACACCATATTTCAAATGGCTTGGGTGAGATTTCCTCCTGTGTTATCACCTCCTCGTGAGGTAGGTAGGCTGAACAATTTGGGCAAATATATTTTTTCGAGATTTTTCTGAACAGAATTGCAACTGTAATTCAATTTGTGATTATTTTCTATTATTTAAGCTCCAAACCTGTTACTCTGGCCAAGTATTTTGGCCACTTTTTCTTGTTTGAAGCTTGAACGTTACGGCCAGTGTGCCAGACTGCCAGTTAGTTCAAGTCAAGTCAAGTCAGCTTTATTGTCAATACTACAATATGTACAGGACATACAGAGTATACTCTGTATGTCCTGTACATATTGTAGTATTGACAATAAAGCTGACTTGACTTGACTTGACTTGACTTAGTTGTGGTTGTGATGTCACAGCCCACAGGTGTTTGGTTGCTTCTGATTGGTCTAACTCATCTAACAGACAGTTCCCAAGTTATTGGGTCAAAAACCACTTAAAACTTCTGATAATGGTGTTGATAATGTGGGCTAAAATTAAAAACTGCAGCTCCTGTGATTTGAAAATTGCAGTCCTTCAAATTTTGATATAAAAAAAACGATTAATCTTTCAGCTCTATCATGAGGAAAACCCTTTTTTTCCTGACACACTCCTGATAAGTGCATAAACTGCTGAAATGACATGCTGCCAAGAATGCGAATCCCATTTGAAGTTCTTCATTCACCCAGCTCGCTCAAAATAGCACATTGTTTATTAAGATGAATGGCCTTTATCCGCTCCTGTCAGTGTAGTAGAGGCGTCCAAATTTAGAACGGAAGTGATTGCTCCACGAGAAAATAGTATTTGCTTTCTCCTATCGTCGTGAATGCCCCAGGGCCGTGCTCGGCAGCCATGGAGCTGCATGTCTCCTTTGTTTCATCCCTGATTTTTTTTTTCCTTTTAGCTCCCTCTCACTCTCTCTCTCTCTTCCCGCAGCCAGAGAGAGGGAGGAGGGTTTGGAGCAGCTCAAACACAAAGACTAATTTGTTTGTTGGTAAAGAGAAACTCTGCTCCTCAGTTCCTGTCGGATCCATTAATAAAATCAGACAGTCTGGCGTGAGAGTGAGCGAAAGAGAAAGAGAGACGCAGACGGAGGAAGAAGAGTGCCCAGCATTACAGTATAGAACAAAAGAAGAGAGCCTGACAAGATGGAACTGAGTGAAATAGCTCAGAGACTTTGGCCATTTATTTGCATATGCACCTCATTTATCTAATCATTTCAAAGGCCAGACTTATGATAAAATAGCCCTTATTATTATTACACAGCCAGGATATTGTCACTGTCATAACCTTTGTTTGTACCAACCAAATTACTTCAATACTACAGACTGAAATTTGTCATTTAATACCAAATTTAATACCATAAATGTTCCAACTGAATTAGGCCTACTTCAATAGTACAAAGAATCAAAAAATTCTATCGAACTGTCATTCAATACCAAATTTCAATATCTAGTCGTTGATCTTAGCATTTGTGAGCCAACAAGTGAGAGTGTTCCAAAATCTAAACTGCAGATTGGCTCTTTGCTACATCCAGGGATTCTTGATGAGTCTAATCCATTACAGCTGTTCACCAGCTTCTTGCTCGAATTTTCCCGTTCCACCTTAAACTAAGACAATACAGTAATTATCCTTTTTATTGGAGAAAATATTCACATTTGTGGGTTTCTTTGGTCGCTTGCACAGCCATCTTGCAGATTTTTCTTTTTTTTCCCTCATTTCACTCTGTCTGGAGTGAGCCTCTGAAAAACCTCCATTTGGAGGGCCATGTAGCCCTGACACTTCACCCTATCCCTCTATCTCAACAAAAATCGGGACACCCTACCCCTGGACATGAACGCGCAAAATGGAGGGCTAAGGGCTAAGTGGTAGGAGCAAGGGGTGAAATGGGATTGGGCCTTAGACTGACCGTTTTTAAGTATAAATTTCAAGTCACATGACACCTACTACACTGGATTTGTGGTCTGGGTTTAATCTAGCACAGTAACAGTAAGATAACGAGTACCGCCACTGTGTTTATTGTGTGTGTGTGTGTGTGTGTGTGTGAAGGGGGTATCTGA